TTAAGCAATGATCCATACTATTCCTAAAATATTTCTTTTATAAAAATTCTCAATATATATATATATATATATATATATATATATATTTAAAAAACTCCTAGATAATGGTAAATTCATCTTAATTGGATGAAAAATAGTAAGTAGATAAAAAACTTGTTGATACTCATTTAACAATTGTTGTTTATGGCTGCATACAAATAATTGCTTACTACTACACATTACTACCACCATATGCCATAGGTTGCCACAAATTATTATAAAGTGTGGTTATAAGCTACTACTTCTAATCTGTTATTGAACTTTCTCTCTATTGCAATTGAAAGTTTGGTATTCAAAAAGAGATTAGTAACTAAGACACACAACTTAATAAACATGTTACAATAAAAATTGAGCCTTACAAAAAAAACACTATCATTGTGTAGCTCAAGTCATGATGATTAGTCATAGATTCCATATAAGAACTCATGGCTCTTATATCATAGTCATCATTATTGACATTAGGACCTCTAACAACCTCCAATAATGCATCCTAATACTACACTATAAGAGCACCATATCACATTGTATCAACAAAAACTGAAACAATATCTTATATTATTGCAACACTAATGTTCTAATATTGAAATCCAAAATCATATTGCACTGCACCATAGAAGCAATTTGTTGTAGCCTTGGCATATCTAAGAGAAACAATACAAAATAATAATCCTTATACTACACCCCACTAAAATTGAAGAAAAAATTCTTATTTACCTATTCCTTTTTAATTTATTACATCATGAAATTGAAGAAAAGAGGATTTTTGTAAAGTGAAAGATGAACAACTTGAACAAAATTTAGTTAAACTATCTTTTATACTATAAAAGAAGGATCTAAGAGTACAAGCGTATAGTTAAAATTCTAGAATTTACTTACTGGCTATATCATTGTGATGATTTAGCTTCTATTAATTTGATTGCATTAAAAAAATTTAATAAAAAAATAATAATTAAAACTCTTTATTTTGTATAATAATATTATATATTATTATATTATTATATATTAACTTCTTTTTTAAAATTTTATATTTTTAAAATAAAATTTTGATGTTGATATTAATATAATCACTTTTTTTATAGCACAAGTTAATACATCTGTTTAATTCAAAATATTAAAAAATTACTAATTGTTATTTTTTATTATTTCTAAATCTTTTATTGAGAAAAAATATTTTTTATTAAATAACATAAATACCACTTATTATTTATTCTGATTAATTTTTATATTCTTTAAAAGTTTTAAATAATTTTTGGATGATTTTGATGATTCTTTTGGCTCTTATTAAGAAAAAAGAAATTAGAATTAAAAGTCAAGAAAAAAAAAATCTTTAATTTTTTTAAATAAAAATAAAAATATCTTAGTTAATTGTTAAAATCTAGATAAATTATTGGAAGCTAAATCACCAATTTAGTCAATGGCTAAATTATTGTGATGATTTAGCTTCTATTAATCTTATACTAAAAAAATCTAAGCTTTTTTTTCTTTCTTTTTTTTCTTTCTTTTTTTTCTTTTTTTTTTCTTCTTTATTTCACTTTTAAAAGAACTTTATAGTTTTCTATTTTAATTAGATTCAAAGTAACAAAATTTGTTTATTATGTTATCATACAAAATATATTTCTAACTAATGCAATCAAATTAATAGAAGTAATAATTTTATATCTACTAATAGAAGAAGTAAAGTTTTATCAATAACTATGCATCACAATACACAAAATGTATTGTTAATAGTTGTTACTATTGTCTACAAAAATGTTGGTTCTAAGATCATATAATTATTTATTATAATATGTAAAAAAAATTATTGTTATATTTATAGATCTTAGATTTGATGGATGCCATTTATACAAAAACAAAAAAACAAAACAAAACAAAAACAAAAACAAAAACAACAACAACAACAACAACAACAACAACAAACTTTTAATCTTTAACTTCAAACTATTACAAATTAATACTTATAAATAAAAATCCATTGAAAAAAAATTAAAAATAAAGTTCAAGAAGATTTAAGCTTTGGTAGCAAGGATAGATAATAAAATCCTTCTAGAAGATACCATACTGTAGCTTACATTAGTGCAACAATTTTTTGTCACACTTGTAATAAATTAATAGAATAAATATTAATGTGTGTTTTTTTTATCAATACAAATGATGGATGTAAATATATCAACAATAAGCTTGCCAATTATAATAAAATATTGTTAACTAAGTAAATAAATAAAATGTGATAGATGGATTTGGTTGTATTAATTTGTGCATCACAAAAGAGTCTCATTCTTGAAGACATGAATCAATATAAGTAACATGTGAGCATCACTATAGATACAACTAAGAGCATATTATACCTTCTTAAGATTGCACTTGTTGCTAAACCATACTCTCCAATTAGCTTCAATTTAATATTAAATCAATTTTTTTAAACTAAAAATTAAACCTACAAGTCTTTTTATGGTTACAAAAAGATATGACATGTACTATCTTGGTGTTTAATATTGCGCAATTTCTACCAAACAAGCAAAAAATAAAATAAAATAATAAAAAAGAGACATAGCAAAGAGCAAACTTCAAATAAGCAAAAACAAATAGAATGATACAAATAAAAAAATAACAAATACATGCTCAAAAACAAATAGCTCTACACCAACAAATATACCATAGCCATACCAAACCTTCCTGGCAAAACGTTAAACCCTCATTACAACCTAATTGCCTTCAACACATTCAAACACCAAATGGAAAACAGTGAATGATTACAAAAACTGTGAACTAGTGGAAGTGCTCGGATAATGTGATATATGAGCTCTAAATACAAGTACACAAAGCGTGTGACTTTTTGGTACATATTTTTCCTTTGATTCAATGATTCAATAAGAAGGCAAAATTCACTAAAACACATCGAATACAGAAATACATTGAGCATGAATTTTTCTCAAAAATCTGGCGGGCATGGCAATCCTGTTCAATGAAGGAGCGTTAATCTAACCATTTTCTCCCCACTTACAAAATGTTTCTTCTGTCACTGAATCTCGATCTGTATTCCGAGCAACAAGAAGCTCTCCACGCTCGAAAGGCCTTATAAATGAATTTATTTTTACCCAATTTCAGTTGAAAATCAAATAGCATGCGGAGAATAGAGAGTTCATCAAGCACAAGGGAATAACATTATGTCATCTTATGACCAAATCACACAGTTCCTAAATCATAATCTAAGCATTTACAGAATTGGACCAGTACTTCGTGGATTCTCACGAGAACGCACAACTCGGAACAAAATGAAATCTAAGACGTGTGATATGCTCCGAGGTCACAATTTTCTCATCAAGCTCGTGACTTATTTAACAGATCGTCGAGAATCCATGATAGAAGGAAGAAAAGTTGGAATGCTGTTGATGAAAGCATCGATCTAGTGCTTGACCGCACACTTTGAAGCGGAAACTGCTGCAAGTAACTCTTTTCTATGGTGATCATAGTTGACGTGAATGGAATGGTATGAACTAGATGGGCCTGACTACAAATTCGGAAGCCATTTATCCGTGTCCAACATCTAGAATAAATGCAAAAAGTCATCACTTCGTGTGATGCGCCTCTCTCGTTCCTTACAATTCAGACTCCTTTACTTGTAGGCAAAAGAGTACAATCGAAGATTAATGGCTGCAGCAGTTCTGAGAGGCTTCAAGCAATGCTTCAGATTTCACGCATGAGAACTGAAACGACCTATGGAAGATTTGAAACCGTCGAATGCGCAGGGATTCTTGCAATTCTCTGCCCTCAGATAGTGATTGGTTTTCAAGATAGAAATTGTGTTTCAGTAGCGCCAAAGTTATATACCGGAATCTAAAGTTCGAGATTAAAAATTTGGGATCCACTGCCTCAAAAACGCTAGACCCCAAGTGGGCAAGTGCTCTACCCAGCTCTAAATCGTCCATGGCGGGCCGCCACATCACCTGTATTATGAGAAAATGATACTAATCGACTCGTGAAGACAGATCAGGTTGATAGTATCACATGGCGATGTTCTTCGGGGTGACAAGTTCTGATCTCTTCGTTCTTGCAGATTCTTTCAAAGACGCAGAAGCTCCTGTTCTTATGGATCAATGCGTCGGAGAGACACCCGAGTATTTGGATCTCAACTGTCAAATACGAACACTGACGATGATATCTACAAAGAAAGCAAAAAATGTCTCGCACTCACGAATTAAATTCGATTTAGCAGACAACGGACGACCAGGATCTAGTTTGAATTTTTAAGAACAATTTATTTAACATTTTACTTCGTGTAGTACAAGCTCGTTACTATTCACACATCTCAATTCGAAGGAATGATGTTCAAACACCAATCAATTAGGTGAACCAATCAAAAGTAATACGGAGGATTTGAAACCTGTGGAACAAATCTAGGCAGGCCCACAGATCACCGGGGAACTGTAGGTTGTGGCTTCGTCAAAGATTATATTCCCAGCTCCTGCCACTTCACCATGTTGTTAAATAGCATTTTTCTGACAGAGCGTTGCTTCGCTGTTGCGCCCAAATCGGGTATAAGGATGGATACCAGGCTGGATCTTGGAAGATTATCTAGTAGTCGAATTCCCGAAATCAGGCGACGTGTTTTGAGAGATTTTCTGCAGCTGAAGAGCATGCGGCGGAGCGGGCTCCGTCTCCAGTAGTGAACGAGATGGAACAGCAAACTAATTGGGGTTTATCAAAGGTTATCTTCACCGATTTATTTGGAGGTGCTCAGGGATAAAACCATTCTGCGAAGATGAAAGAAGACGATGACCCGAGTCCATGCACTCGTGAACTTCAAACCCTCCTAAGCTCTCACGACCTTCCAACAGCCAATAAAACCATGCTTCTATATACATAGTTTGACCCCCCTTCATCTACTGAGGCAGAAGCAACTACACTATTTACTGCATATAATTTACGACACATTCTTATTGAAATATTTTGACTGCAGTGTATGCAAGGCAGCAACTCATCAACGAAATCGCCTCCATTGAAGTGCCGTAAACGAAGGCAAGTGTACATTACACATCTTGAAATGAGAGATATCCGCCACAAAAACTGTACAACAGGCGGTTTGAGTAGATCTAAAGCAGACACATAGAGCTACCATCGGAATGGCACATCTGGAGATTTGGCAATATGCAGGTTTCATGCATTCCATGGTAATACTACAGCAAATGTACAGCTTCAATCTATGACAACTTCTTGGTGGACTGTTCCGTTTTCGATTTCTTATTCCCAGCCCGTTTATTCTCCTTGTAGTTTTTGTACGTCCAGCCGCACAGAAATATGACAAGGCCGACGATGTTAACTGACCAAAACAAGATCACCTGTTTTGGAACAGGAGCAGGGAAGAGACCTGAAAGAGAGCATTTTCAAAACCTGGTCAGGTGCAAAATATCATCGAAGCTTTGGTGGATCAAGGGCATGTCATTTTCTCGTCAAAGTAAAGCTGTTTGAGGAAACTCATAATGAATTGCATATTTGTAACCACAGGGACATCCTAAAGATAACATACCTCGTCCGAATTTCACGCAAATAAGAATTTCCATAATAGCTATGGAAAGACCCATCCAACAGAATGCACCAAGCTTCTTATTCATATCACTGAAACATGCCGAAAGACGTTTTAACAATCGTGCAGACGAATGCCGCTATTCACTAGAGGAAAATACAGAAAGGAAAAATTAGACCCAAAAAGACAGGTAAAACAACGAAAACAAACATCTACAATTAACAACTTCAAGTAAATCGACATGAAATGATTAACAGTTATAACCAAAATTTTAACTTACCAGGGAAATACTTCCCGAGGAACTCACACTGCAACTACTCACCTTGATTGTAAGAACATGTTGTACTCTCGAATGGCAGGGTTTGCGATGAGCCACCATATGGCGAGGCGATAAGAATTGAGAGGGTTCAGTGGTGGGATCCACAGAACGAACTTAAGGAAAAATCCCATGACCTCAACAGTCAGAATTACTACTCCCAGCGCAAGAACTTCAAGGAACCGCCATGGACCTTGTAGTGCATTCCACTCATCCTTGTCCCAGTAGGATGGTGTGAACTGCCCTAGTGTCCTCCGCACCTACACCCAAACTCAATAGTTTTAATGCCTTCAGTTTCTGCTCCTGATCTGTCAAGAACTTCCAAAGAAATTGCAACACATACATAGAGCAGAAAATCCTTTCAAATTGAGATACAACCATAGTAACCAAAAGAACTCGAAATAGCGTATCTTCACAACTACATCTGCATGTCATGAACAGCGACTGTAACGGCCGTGTAGATCCACATGGAGGTATGACATTAAAGTACATGCGTCTGTGATGGAGTTTATATGAGGCACGATGCAGAAAGAAAAGAAAAGTGATATAGGTTGCATACCTTACCATAGAATGACTTCTGCTGACTCACCCCAACCCAGTTGTACTCCTTTCCATCGAAATATTTGACTGTTTTCATCCCAGCCCATATCCCTGAGCAATTATGAAAAACGTACTGTTAGTTTCTTTGATTACCAATCATCAGAGCTCTTCCATCAAATTTCCTCTAGCCAACATAGCCATATTCCTCAACAGTGGTGCTATGTTCAAATAAACATCGTTTGAAAGTATAGAAAGGAATAGAAAATGCGAAGCAACTGCAAAGAATCACAAAAACTGACGTTTAAAACCTACACAATTTGAAACAAAACATGATGGCATGAGTGCATCAAAGAAACTAAGATTTTAAAATATATGTTAAAATAAGAATCTTTCATGCGACACAAGCAAGAGAAGAGCCACGGCGTACCAAACCAATTGCAAATTAATACGTCTAGGACAAAGCTATCCCACCAGCATTCGTTGAAATTTGGGAGCATATGAATAAGACTTCTCTGCATATGTACAGGGCAGAAAATCAGTTATAGATGTGCAATATTTCCCTCAAATTAAAATCAAATTTACCTTCTTACACTTAGCTACCAAACATACAGTGATAAGCATAAGAATCTATCTTTATTATATGAGCACTAGAAACCCAAAAACAATACCTCACAAAACTCGAAAGCAATAGAGAGCGCCCATAGAAACGGCTGATTTCGAATCATTATGGCTTTGCACCACCATCCTATGGTGTGAGCTACTACATACTCATCAAATAAGGTATCCTGCAACAGACGAAATCTACGGGTCAAATCCACAATTCACCCACCAATCACTTGAACATGGATGATGTTGAGTTAAAACATAGAGCATAAACATGAATACTCCTCGAGCATGATAAAAGTACACATTTAGTGCGCAAGATAACACAATACTCGAGAAAATGTGAAATTAAAAACATGCAACGACAGAATTTGCACTAAATGACGAGTTTCGTACTGACATAAACATTAGAAAATTTGTTCGGTTTTTCTGGAGTATAAATTCGACAGTCGGTACCGTATGATCTCTCCTTCAGCTCTACACCACAAACAAAAAGGAAAACACTTTAATATGCACCGACCAGTCATTGCTACGCATAATCAAATCCCAACATGATCCCCATGCCACGACACTGGCAAGAATAAGCACGGAGATTTATTTGCCAGTAAGGCGGACACAGGCCTGCACAACGCAAAGCAGGGTACATCGATGATACAGCAAAGTAGGACGGCACTGACTCTGCCAACCGAATAAGGGCTGTCGAGGGGGATCTTTTAAATGATTTAGCTTATAAACTCGTTCTGAGCATCGAGAAAGTAGCACATGCTAGAAGAAAGAATGACTAAGCCCAGCATCTGTGTAAATCTCCCATAAAACACTCATGGAGACATAGTAGTGCAACCTTCCGGAACTTAAATGCATTGATTAAGATATGAAAATAATTTAGGTGAGTGTTGTTCCTTACGGACGCCAAGATCCGGATGCAAATACTTCAAAAATTGCCGAGCATCATCACGATTCTGCCACATGCGAAGAAAAAACAGTTCAACAAGCTGTATAACTCAAAGCAAAGCCAAGTTAACTCAGAACTGAAGAAATAATCAGACAGTCACTGTTTGCAACAGAACAAACGACCCGTAAGCGAAGGGATTGATGGAAGTAGACACATATTACGCTTCCCGACTCTCGATAGGGACAGCCACAAAGCATGAAAAACCGGACTTCTCTTGACATGATTCTACATTGATACAAATAAGGTGTTCACGCTGTACAGCATGGAGAATGACAAAGTCCGTTGGAGTTCTACACAAGAAAATATATTCCAGGCAATCCCCGACGTCGCGATTGAAAAAAGAAAACTAAATGGTGGCTAGCATGCACAGATTTGACACAATAAAGAAACAAAAGGCCAAGTGAATTGCTAGCGAAAGATGCGTAGACAGACCTGGAACAAGAGGAACGTGAGGAACACAAGATAAACCACTGCCATTCCGTGTATGAAGCGCCAAAATGCTGGATGAGGTCGTACCAAAATCCTGCAGATTGCTCACTAGCATCCCATTAATATACAAAAACGATGCCACCACCAAGAAAACAACCATAAAGATACTGCAAGTTGGTAGAAATTTTTCATTTGTCCATAACATTCGAAAACTGAGGCTACGAAGTAGAAACTTGCCCATGACAAAAATAAGGCCCCAGAAAGATGTCCTGGCAACACTACATCTAGACTAAAGAGCATCAATGAATGTATTGGCTGAGCTATGGAGTGTTTCACTTACGTTGGGGGTGCTTGTAGCAAACAATATCCCATAAAAACTGCGATTACTGCCCAAACACCCCTGAATAACAATTTAGAGCATAAGTGACTCATATAATTAAAACTAGATTCCGATAATGTTGTGAAAGTAGGATTGCAAAATGCTTATGACCTTGAAAGTCGGCGATAGAAAAACATTTGATACTTAACACGACAAATTGAAATCAACTTCATCATAAATCTCCTATCGATGGACTAACCGTTTTGTGTTCGTGGCGGGGTCCAGATCATGCTCCTCCCCTTGCAAAGCACCGCTTGCCCACCTGTACAACGGATGGCGCAGTTTTCAAACAAGAATCAAGTCAGTATCATCCATCATTCTTTCAATCACCTGAAAAGATCCCAAGTGACCCGGCAAACTTTCCAGGTTCTACGTAAAGCAGGAACGCTCGCCGGGTCTGTATGTTTCGTTAAAAAAGTACAAAGCAAGGTTGATTTAACGTAGGGTTTCAGTTGGGTAGTAAGGACGTTCCTCGACATCTACAGCTCCATCACTCGGTTAAGTGTTCCCAGCAGTATTGTTCCCACCTGAGTATTACTAACAAGCATGTCCAAATTGACAAGCAACGTCTTGATATGTCACAGTAATCAAAACGCAAGCCCTTCTAACAGGCACTCTTCAAACAAATGAAGATTCAACACCGACCAGTACCAAGGTCACGGAGATACAAATTTGATGAGGAATAGAAATATAAGACCATCCACAGTGTATAACTCGAGAACTCCAGTCGTGAAATTTGAAGTCACATAGACCTAACATCCGTACAAGACGGAGGAGAATTTTTAAATGAAAGAAGGGAGAAAATCGACGCACACAAGAAGGCCCGCTCCGACGAGAGTAGTGATAATAGTGTGGGGTTTATACAACCACGCCGTCCATGGATCCACATCACTCAACACTTTCCGCGCCTGGATTTCGCTCGCGGTGCGCACTAATCCCGTGCTATCCCCATCGTTAAAACCAATGTTGTCGCCTCTACTCTTCCCTTTCTTCCTCAAATCGCCTTCCTCCTCCACAGGCAATCCCATCTCACTCTCTCTCAGCTGAACTTGCACCTCCTTCCTTCAGCTCAACGCCCCCAACACACACCCAACCTCGCCTTCTTCTAGCTCCTCGATTCTTCCCCACCTCCCTCGCCCCCCTCCCCCACTACGCAATCTTCACACAAACCGCAACGTTCTTGCAAACTCAAGTCCTGAGCTCATCTCCCATCAACCCAAAAAACCTACTCGTCAACCCACAAGCCGAAGGTTAATCCGATGATCACGAGAAACTAAGTCAAGTTCCCATGTGTTACAAAACCATCATCTGCAGTCGATTTTCTCAGGACCCATATGTCATCAGCGAGCCTCGTTCACTCGCAACATCCAACTGATCTCATCCCATTCTCTCTCTCGCTCCCCCCCTCCTTCCGAGAATGATACTCAATCGCTGCTTCCTAAATCAAGTTTCGGCGTGTTGCTGCAGGGAGCAGGAAGGAGATTGATCAGGCTTCTGCATGCGCTGGACCGAATTCCTATCCAGGTGGCGTGGAGTCGTGGCGAGGAGCCCTCGCTCCCCGCCCCCACACGCGCCATGGCCATTCTGCGCCGTCTCGTCACGGTTACGTGACCACATCCGAAGCTTCATTGAAAACACATCGGAGGGTCCCCGCGACAAGCTTCCTACCACATTGCCGTGACAATCTCGCCGATTTCTGCGTCAGGGCATTGTTGGGTTTTGTCGAATTTGTCATTTGCTCGAGCTTGGTACCGCTGCGCCGCGACGCTCACTGCGGCGCTGCTGCGTCCTCGCTCGCCCCCGCGCCGACGCCCATGCTGGCGATCACAGCTTTTTTCTCTCTCTCTCTCTCTCTCTCTGCCCGTGGGCAGCTTCTCGGGCAGTTTGGAATTTCCTTCCTCCATGAGGAGATATTCTCATTTCCCAAAATAAAGGTTCTATTATTTTGGGAAATATGAATGGGATTGGTTGCCCCTCTTTGTAATTCAACAAGAGTAGGACCAAGAAGGACAAACAAACACCCCTCAACCTTATCTAGCAAAAAGAAGTTCTTTATTTGAAGTCTTTATTTCTAAATTAGAAATTAGCTTGAGTGAAAGTTTTGTAACCTTTAGTCATTCTATTAATCTTAGAAATAGACCTTCATAACAGAGTGAGAAATAGCATAATGAAAAAAGTAACAAATAAATTAGAAAGAGTTACACAAGGTTTACAAGGTTTGATAATTTGCCTACATCCTCAGCTACAGTTGATTTTTTCTTTTGTTACCTTCCAATTAATATGCATTATAAGAGAGGGTTCTATTTGTATCCAAGAATCTATGGTTTCAAAAAGACCATGAAAGTTACATAATTATCCACAATATATAAAGTTCAAATAATTCCTTCCTTCCAAAATAATGCTCTCAAAAACCCTGACAAAGGTGTTGCCTCTTGACCAAGCCCTTTAATTGGTCAGCAGTACCACCATTAGAGAGGCAGCCACTCTCCCTAATCTCCTAAAAATCCTTGTGGATGTCTTATTTATAAGTTGTTGCAATGTAGTTTCTATATCAAGTAAGTTCTATATCACAATTAAAACATACACAATTAATCTAAGACTCCAAATGACTTTACAATTCTTTTAAGATGTCTAAATAGTATCCAAATAATACTAAGAATCTTAAGATTTATAAACTTTCTATAAAGCCTTTAAAAATCAAAAAAATAAATCTTTTTATAATATTATTAGTAATAAAAATTTATATTTAAAATATAATCAATAAAAGGTAGAATAATATTTTTATATTATAAAAAACTTCTATGGTTGATTGTCAAGGGCATGAATGACAAATAATTTAAAAGTTAATACACTCTTAAGTCACTCTAGGAGACTAATTATTTATTTAAAGAAAGTATACTATTAAAACCAAAATAACTATTCCTAAAGACAAGAAGACTAGAGAATTTTAAAATGAAACCAAGAATAAAAAAAAACATTGATAAGAGTGAAGAATGCTTTACTCTTACCTCTATATATATTATCTAAGGAACTGCATGTCAATGACAAGAACTTCAAGAATGTAAATAACAAAGTGAGATATTTCTTAAATAAAGATGAAAAAAATCATAAATTAATTAATAAATTTATATATTCAAGAAGAAATTATAATAACTATAGCTAGAAACTAGAAAAATATAAACTCTTGAAATTAGATTAGAAATAAGAAAGAAATTGATAAATACAAAGAAAGATTTATTCTTGACTCTATATATATTATCTAATTAACAATGGCATGGCAATATTCTATAAGACCTTTGATATGTATCTAACATACTGAATAAGTTTTGTACATCTACAACATGAAGCCAACTTTTTCACTAAGTTTTCAACATACTAATCACCAACAAATATATAACATCAATTTTGTGTCTATAAAGCATCTAAAAAGCTTGTCTATAAGATATTATCTAATCAACTTATTTTTACTTATTTCTATTTAATTCCTTTAATACAAATAAATTTATATGTCTATGATATTATTTCTTTCCTTTCTAGGAATAAATTCTACAAAGAATCATAATTATATGATAATTTTATTTTTTACATATTTTTATTTTATTTTTTAAAAAGTAGTTGATAATTTGTTTCAACCATTAATTGTATTTTATTCCAAGGCATGAAGACCATCCTAATATTTTATTATTCTTAAGGCTTTCATAACTTCCTTCAAATAAAATATTTGGAAGATCATCAGAGGTTATTTCTATCTCTAATAATATTACTAAACATCAAGTCTCTCTTCTAAAGTTGTGATACCAATCAAATTGAATCTCACCATTTATTGTCAAGAATATGAACATCAAAGAAGTAAAATATCAATACACTCTTGAGTCACTCAAAAAGACTAGAAAATGACTCAAAAATGATATAGTATTAAACTAGAATAGCTATTGCCAAAGACAAAAAGTCTAGAAATTTTTCAAATAAGACTAAGAACTAAAAACACATTGACAAGAGTGAAGAAGGCTTCACTCTTGCCTCCATATATACTATCTAATTGGGAGCTATATGACAATTTTTTATAGAACCTTTAACATGTATTAACTTTGCAAGACATGTATTTTAACTTGCAAGGCAAGTTTTCTATATATGCACCATATAGTTAACTTGTTCCACAAGCTACCAACACATGTGACATGTGGTTAAGTTGTTGACCAAGTTTCTAACCTACCAATTAACTACAAACATGTGTAAAGTCCTAACTGCATCTATGAAGCTTCTAGAAAGCTTTTCTAGTAGATATTATGAAATTTATTAATTTTTATTTACTTCTATCTCATCGTATAGATAATTATTAGAATAAATATGGATGTCTATAATATCTATTCAAGGAAGAACATAATATTTTTGAAGGTCATCTCTATTAAATCATCTTGAAGGTTGTAACAATCTCAATCTATTGTTTGATAATTTAATAAATAATAATTCCTCAATTAAATCTAATATATATTGATTTTCTATTTTTATAGCTCCACAAATATATAAAAATCACAAACAAAGATAAAAGATAGAACACAATTTCTACTAAATCTTATTTCTTTTATAGCAATAATTATTTAAAAATTCATCTTCATTTGATGGATCTCATTGATAAAAAGTATCAACCTTCTTTGTTGCATTTGTAAAATTCTTCAATAGCTTCTATGTGTATTTATTAATATCATATTTATATTGATGTACAAAATATTCCAACCTATTTTGGCACTGTCTTAAATCTAAGACTTTTTCAACTTCAAACTCTTGATTATTGTCCACTTTTATACAAAAAAAATAACATTATCTTCTTCTTGGTATATCTACTATCTTGAATAGCTTAAAATATATATATATATATATATATATATATATATATATATCAAATACAAAATAGATCTTCATATACTTTAATAGATGTAATCGATAAGCACCTAAATTAATTTATTCACAAATTTATTATATTTGTTTATCAATTTGAATATAGAAAGTCAAAGATAGTTTTATGTCTATCTTTAATATTTTAAAAAAGATTTTAAAAATATTCAATACAAATTATGTCTTTTTTATCTAATATAATATTTTTTGACAATCTAAAATAGCAATAAATATTATGAAAAAAAAATCAGTTCTTTCTTTACATGTAATAATTTTTATACATAATACAAAATATATCATCCTAATGAAATAATCTACTATCACAAATATAGAATCATAAGAACTTAAAATTTAAAGATTTATGATAAAATCTATAGAAATAGAAAATTATGATTTTTTTAGCATAAATAATAGTTGAAGAAGTCCATAAAGTCAATGATATGGCATTTTTAATCTTCTCAAATGTCACATAATTGTATAAAGTCTTTGACTAATTTTCACATTTGAAGCTACTAAAAATATCTTTATATTAGCTACAAAATCTTATTGTATCCAAAATATTATATAATTAGAAATTTAAGGCCAATTTAAACCGTACATAGTAGTGCTTCATCTTTTGAAATATATAAGCATTCCTTAAAATAAAACAGATTGTTTTTGAATTCAAACGTAGAAGTATCATGATATTTACAAGAACTATTTAAAATATTATGTATAAGAAGATTTAAGGATATTTTTTTAGAAACAAGAATTTAATGAATATAAATAAATCAATGAAATATTTTTCAAAAAAGATAATAAAATTTATATATATATATATATATATATATATATTTATATATATAAAACTAAAATAACCATTATCAAAAGACAAGAAAATCAAAGATCCTTGAAACTACACTAGAAGTAAGAAAAGAGTTGATATGAATGAAAAAAGCCTCATTATTGCCTCTATATATACTATTTAACTAGGAGCTACATAGTGACATTCTATAGGACCTCTAATATGTATCTAATTTGTGGGACATGTATCTAACTTGTAAGATAAGCTTCTTATGTATGCGCCACATGTTTAACTTGCAAGAAAAGCTATCTATGTATGCGCCACATGTCTAACTTACACCACAGGTTGCCAATATGTACAATACATGGCCAACATGTTGGCCAAGTTTGTAAGCTATCAATCACCTATAGACACATGCATAGGCTAAGTCACATCTATAAAGCTTCTAAAAAGCTTTTTTATAAGATATTATCAAATTTATCTATTTTTATCTATTTTTACATATTCATATTATCTAGATAACTATTAGAATAAATATGGATATTTATAATACATACTTGATTGGAATTGATTATAAAAAGTTGAATCAATAATGAATATTGATTTCATTGCACAAAGATAAAATTCTTCTAGTATCAAAAGAATTATTTTTTATTGATGAAAAGTTGTACTTTCTTCTTTTAATAAAAAATTAGAAGATATAAAAAAATGATAATTTTTTTAATCAATAAATAATCTTAAATTCAAATTTTGACAAAATTATTCTTTGATAACTTGGAAATAATTTTAAATATGTGCCAATACAAAATTCTTAAGATTCTTGTTATTTATATACATAGTGGTTGTATGTGGGGTACCTTTAGATAATAATTTTATTCTTAAAATGAATCTACAATTGTAGGTTTTTTTATTGTGGATCTTATAATTAAATTTGGGTGCTGAAAATCTTTTCAAATGAGAAGCTACTAGATGAAGTTTGTCATTTGTTTCTATTTGTGACAATATTGTAGTATAAGCAAAGTCTAATATTTCCATAAAAAATGCCTTCACGCAATCCACAAAATAGAAGATTGGTCCAAAAATATAAGCTTTCTTTAAATCTTCAAATGTCATTTCAACTTCTTAATTTCAATCAAGTTTGTCTTTACAAGTCAAATGTATAAGTGGAACTAGAATCTAAGAAATATTTTTATAAATATTTTATAGTAATTAATAAATCCTAATTAATATTTTTTATTTTTTATTATTTTTAGAATCTTCTAATCTATGATAATTGAATTTTTTTAAAGATCCATCATAAGATCATCACTTGAAATAATATATTCTAAGAATTTACCTTGAGTTGTTTAACAATATCATTGTAAGATGTTGAAAAGTAGCTGGTGCATTTACGAGTCAAAAGATATGACATTATATTTAAAATGACCATATCTAGTTCAAAATATAGTTTTCCATTCATTTTTTTAATTAATGCATATTACGTTATATGTTCTTCATAGATCTAATTTTAATTCAATTGATCAAAAGTCCAAATATCAAAAGTAGATGATGGCTATTTTCGATGGTAATTTTATTAAATCCTTGATGATCTACATATATTTGAAGTAATCTATTTTTTTTCTTCAAAAATAATATAAAAACTTGTATTAGAGATTTTGAATGGCATATGAAGTTCTTAGCTTAGTCCTCATAAATGTAATCCTTGAGTGTAGCCAACTTATTTTATGATAAGCTATAGATTAGTCTAAATGGTTCTTAAGCTCTTTCTTAAAGATCTACTAAGCAATCATGAAAACAATAAATTTGAAAGATATTTATATTATTTTTTCAAAAAAATTATGATAATTTTTATATTGGCTCAAAATGCTATTTGAAGTCTTTTTACTATTAGATATGGATGTGGTATAAATAAAAAAAGTTTTCATTTCTTTTATCGCATGCAAAAAAGTTCTTGTACCTATTAATAAAGATTTAGATATATTAGACTTATGACTTTTTATATTGCTAAAAGAAATTTGGATTATACCATTGAAAAATTTTAAGTTATAAAAAATTTAATATATTTAATGATTATAACTTTTTAAACCATAATAAACCTAAAAATATTAAAAAAAAAATCTAATAACATTAAATGCTATTAAGCTATTATGTCCATTAGTTGCTATATTGAAAAAAAAAAAAATCCATAGATAACATCTTCAAAAGATAACAAACAACTATCTATTACTTTTACATGTATATGCTAAGTTTTTTTATTATAAATAATTTTTATTTTTTAATAAAATTTAAATATTTAAAAAAAAATTAAGGCTCCTAAATCTAACAAGATGAAAGCTTTGTAATTTTGTGGTCTAAAGAAAAATCTATTATAGGGCAAGCAAAGAGATTTGAGGGAAAAAAAGGACCTTTAGTTGTGCAATATTTAACCACATGGTCTCTATTATAGTTAAATAAATTCATTTTTTGACACATTGTTCTCTTTGGCAACTATATTTTTTATTTTGTAATTATATTGCTTCGTTAAACAATGTTGAGAAATGTGATTAGATTCTCCATGATATAAGGACAATCTTTTCAATAACATCAAATCTTTTTTTGCTCAATGAAAGGTTTGAAATGTATCATGCTAATTTTTATAGGTTTTGGTCTTAATAAATAAGCTTCTAAAAACTTAGAAGTTGTCACTATGAATTAACTTATATTTCTTCAATCAAATCTTTATTCTTAGCATCTTTCAAAAAATTGATTATTACATGCAATGGAATATTTTATCAATTTACTTTGATTTTGGCTTTGATAAATAAGTTTCTAAAAGCTTAGGAATTGTTGCCATAACTTAACTTCTATATTTCTAACCAAACCTTTGCTTTTGGCAACTTTCAAAAAGTTGATTATTGCATAGAATATCTTCAATAATAAATTGTTTTAATAAATTTATTTTTGGCATTGTTAATAATAAGTTTTTGATATTATCTTTCAACACACATCAAAATTTATTAATAAGGGCTTAGTTATTCTAATCCACATCATAAGTAAGGTTTTGGAATTCAACACCATATATGTTGGCTGATTGTGATCTTTGTTTTAAAAATAAAAGTTTGGTTTTTGCTATCCTTTCTTAATCACTTTTTCCAAATGTGGCTATAAAGACTATTAAGAATAATTTCAAATCATAAAAGAATTATGAATCTTTTTCTATCAAAGGTACAAATCAAGAGAATGCACTTCCAAATAGAAGTACGCCTATGAATCCAAATTGAGTAAATCCACTGGGATATTTAAAAAGATGCAAACTTAGACAGAGCTTCACTTGTTATAAAAATCTTCAAAATTAGAGTCTTGTTCCATCAAGATTCTTCGGCATACTTATCCTTGCCTCGTTTATATTTATAATAACAAGACTTTTTGGATTCAATTATAAGGTCAATCTACTTGTTTCTCTTAATTGTATAATTTTTTGGTGTATTTTTTGAATTTTATTATTAATTTCTTCCATAGATATAAGAATAGTACCTCTATAGTTGGTATTAGTAATACGTGAGATTTCTACCTTCAAAATATTGACACATTCATGAAGATTTGTAATAGTTGCAAATCTATTCTCATTTGTCTTAATTATAGCATCCATAATTTTTCCTTTCATATCTATAACAAATAACTTTAATAAATCCATAAATAAAATTATAGGAAGGTAATTTATAACCTCTAATACCAAATGAAAATTTCTACAAAACAAGATAGTCAATTTTTTTTTTAAAATCAATGTTTAAAAATTTAAAATATAAATTTAAAGATAGATAGTTTGTGATTTTTAAAACAAAATAAAAGAAGTGAAATAATCTACTCACTTTAAAAAAAAAAAAAAAAAAAAAAAAAAAAAAAATGATTAATTAGCACTCTTGTCAAATTGTCAAAGACATGAATTACAAAGAACCAAAAGATCAATACATTCTAGTGTCACTAAAAAAAAAGTATATAATTGCTCAAAGTTGATACAATATTAAGATTAAAATGGCTATTGTCAAAGACAAGAAGACTAGAGACTCTTGAAATAGGACTAAAAATAGAGAAGACATTGAAAAGAATAAAGAAGACATGTGTCTATCTTGCAAAGCAAGTTTCTTCCATGTATGCTACATAATCAATTTATATCACAAGTTGCCAACATGTACAACACATGTCCAACTTGTTGGCTAAGTTTCAATTATGAATCAACTACAAATACATTTAAAAGCAAATCTGTGTCTATAAAGTTTTTGAGAAGCTTCTCCACAAGATATTATCAAATCTACCTTCATTTATCTTCTATCTAATATTTAATACTTAAATATTTTATAGGGGCAATTCTATATGATCCTAATTGTAGATCTTTAAATTATGACAAATCTTTTCAAACAAAAACAATATATATATATATATATATATATATATATATGAATGTATATTATATAAATGCTAACATATTTTGCAAAAATTATATAGATTTTTAGATATTTATTTGTAATTTTTTTTTTAATAAAATCATATATATATATATATATATATATATATATATATATATATATAATCTTTTAAAAAATTATGTCTTTTATTAAGTTTAAGCTACTATTTTTTTAAAACTCATTAAAATTTAATATCAATACCTCTCAATAAGGTGAAGTATGTAATATTGTTTGTACTAAAATAATATGTATATATATATATATATATATATATATATATTTACTTATAATCATAAAATAAGTTTTAATTAACAATTTTTAAAAATTTTATATCTAATATTATAAATATTTTATATAGAATGAGGTAAAATATATTTTTTATTTATAATTATAAATCTTTGTTAAATATATGCTTTAAAAAAATTATTATTTTTATATATTATATGATTTTTTATAAAAAAATAATAAAAAATAAAAATAATATTATATATATATTTAAAATAAAAATTAGACAATTGAAATAAAAAATTAAAAACTTTGAAATACAAAAGAATCTTACTGATATATAAATGAGATTCTAAATTTGAATTTTTAAGAAACATATATATAAAATTAAAATCATAAGATTAGGTCAAATAATAAGTTTTAGAATAAATTCATATTTTAACAAAAATATCTTTATATTTCAACTAAAATAAGAATTTTAATAGTTTTTTAATCTTAAAAACATGTAAAGTAGTAGAAAATACAAGAAAATTTTTGCTAATCAAATAAGAATTGCTTGCTACTTATTTATTTATCTACATATGTTTTCAGCTTTAATTAATATAAATAAATAAAATAAATAGATAAAAACTATTTTAATTAAGGCTCATGCTACAAATATATCCCAAGTTGCTATATACACACCCCAAATTGCTATACATACATCCAAAACAAATGGAGGCCTTTGATTGGCTAGTTGATGTTGTATAAAGATTGACATCTGCAATGACTATGGATTCAAGCAATCCCATCTGATGGTCTACTAACCAATCAATGAATAGGATTTCTGTGGGCAAAGCCTACAAAAATAAAGAACTTGAAGTTTGTTTCTAGTTCAAAACTTTACATAGTCATTTCTATTTAAGTATATGTCAATGATTATATAGTTTTCATTCTTTTTGTTAAGTGAAGAATCAAGACTGAAATAATGACTATTAAACAAGCCTTAAGCACTTCATTGCTTCAGAAGTAAGTTAATGAAGTGCCAGTCACAAGCAAAAATGTTTCTAAAGTGACTTGTTATTAGAGGAATCACAATGGGATTCCATCCTCCACAAGGCACAAAATAAATAAAACAATTTTATTCAACACATGATTTTGCACAAGGAATGTGCAGAATATTGAACAGTTTATCAGCCAAAAACAAAAAACAAAAAACACTTCATCTGAACAAATTGCAAATAAGACAGTCATGTCTAATTCTGTGTTGCACAGAACAAAGCGTCAGTTCACAAAAAGATTAGCAAGCAACATCATTCATCATTTCATTAGATGCTGGATGCTCGATTCCAAAGTCATACTCTTCCACCAATCAAATCCAAGCTCTCAATATTGTGTAATGAATTCTGCTAGAATTGATCCGCAATTCAAGCAACTGCAATGCGGAAAGTTCTCGGCTCACAGTAATATACAAACTCAATAGTTTATTGAACAAGCTATACAAGCAGGAAAGCTGCAAACTAAGATGCGGCAGTTGCCCAAGCACTAGCGGAAATTACTTCACAGGTGAAAAAGCACGCCATGGGGGACACGATATAACATTTTAGTACTAAAATATCCTCGAATACAACCCCTTCCCTTCACTCCACCTAGTAAGTTCTTAAGGCTTGGTAGACCTTCAATTCACTCTCTCCATTTCTCAAACTGAATGGATTGATTACTAAATCAACTTTAGAAAAAATACATCTCACAACGTGGATCTGAAAGCAGGAGTCATAACAAAGAAGTGATTTCTTTGCCTGCTTAATTCCATTAAGGAACTAACACTAAAAATAATATTAAAACCACGCGTGTTACCTGTGTCGGGCAACGCCATGGGCTCCTCGATATGATTCAAAATTAACAAGTACTGTTGTCCAGTCTGGCCTGAAATCCTGACGTCTTCCCTGACCTCACCAACGTGATGATACGTATGATCACCTCCAAGTCCAAAATTTTCAAGGAGATCCACTATAAAGTGGACTGATCCACGTGAGGAATCTTAATTTCTTCAGACAACAGCTAGTAACATCCACTGATGAAGCTCAGTGGGCGAAACCTGAAAATTGTGTCAATTCCACCTACACTTGCCGGTTTTAAATGCAGTGGAAGCTTATGTGTGCATGACCTCAAGCTTGAGATAGAGATCACAGGAGAGCTTAAATCAAATACTAGGTAAGACTTCGCACCAACCCAACGTCATACCGTCATGTCTTGCATCCAAATCAATCCAAGCATGGTCCTAAACCTTCAGAAGATGTAAGGAAGACGTCAGTCGAACAACCTTCTGGAACCCTTATTATCTGAACCAAAAGGTACCGGATTAGGAGACCCCTGATAGTCCGCACCTGAATTGATACTACCCCCATTTCCGCCGTCCAACTCATGCAGAGGCACTACGGGAACGTGACCTGCAAATAGACCAATGTGACCGAATAACTTGTCCTTGCGTGAAAACCTGGTGCCACAAGAACATTGCCACTTATCGCGGCCACAGTGCTTTTCATGAGTCTTCAAGTCTGCGACAACTGAAAATTTCTTAGTCATGCATTTCTGGCATGTGAGAACCTTAGGACAATGGCTGCGGCGGTAATGATTCTTCACGCACAGAATGGTTTTCAACGGCTGAAACTTGCCATGCTTTTTGTTCCTCTTACATCCTACGCAAGGGCAGGAATACCGCCTCAATCGAGTTACTGTAGTATCTGGCGAATCTTTGTCGGGACGTGCAAGAGCTGCAGAAGTCTTGTATTCGTCCCCATGACCTCGCATGTGCATCCTTAAGTTGGTATCACGCTTGAAGCCCTTCCCACAAATCTCACAAAAATGTGTGTGCTCGGCCAAAATCTCCGAGGCATCCATCTCCACAAGGTCAAATGAACCGGAAACGATAGTTTCAGGATCGACATCACCATCGTCACCGACACTATCGACATCACTGCGTGAGTCGTTGTTGAGATTTTCTAAGCCAGCATCCATCCCGCCGAACTCACTACAGACCAAATTGTTTGCACCTGCTGCGAGCGAATTATCTAGCGGATTAAAGTCACTGTTAGCTACCCTGCGTCGCTTTTCACCACCAGCAATGCTTCCATGTTCTTTGCCTAATCCGCTACTTATCTGATTAGGAAGTATAGCCTCTGAGCCGCTGCTAACAACAGGGTGTTGCCCACTCACATTCTGCTGTCCGGGTATGTCCCCCTCGTTGTTCAAATTAGGAAAACCACCCCCTCCACTTGGAAATCTGGGTCCACAGCTGTCAGAAGGAAATCTCGCATTATCTAATCCACCCAGCCCTGAGACTGTTGTTTGAGAAGTGCCATAGCCGTTTGCTATCGCGTTTCCCAACGAAGTAACCCTCTGTGGTACTCTGGACTGACCCCCCACGGTGTCTTGCTGAAAGAAATTAGGATCCTGTCCCAAAGAAGCTTGAAGTAGCTGACTCAAAGGCAAGTCCGTTGATGGATTCACTTGACCCGCCGTGTGTTCAACTGACTGTGGAAGGAGACCAATAGCTATCACTGCAAGCTGAGAGACGATACTCACAACAGCGGCACTTGCTGCTTGCTGCTGGGCTACAGCATTGCCCTCAATCTGGCTATTCGCAGTGTGGGAAATGAGAGGCACCAGGGCTTGCAGCTGCAAAATTCTGTCTTGCAGCATGGAAAGGTGTTCCATGATGCTTAGCACGTTCTGATCCACCATGAGCTGACTAGATAGATTCTCTAAAATGTTTGGATTCATCATCTGACTACTGAGCTGCTGTTGATCGAAATTTGAGGCCAAGTTCCTACGCTGCAAATTTTGAAATATCTTTCCTATTCTTTCACCAGTTCTGGTTCCTCCATTAACCTGCCCCCCGCCGCCGCCACCTATCGGCAGTAACTGCGCATGAGGTTGATAATTTTGAGGTGGATAGGCTTGCTTCTGTGTTATCCAGATCAAAAAAAAGGCAAGTGAAGTGGAAGCGATATGTCAATTACAGTCCTGATTAGGAGTAGAGTCCTAAAAAAATCGAGAAAAGCACCAACAATTGAACTCTTTCAGAACTCCTGACAGGCAGGAACAATCTAGTGTTCAAATAACACACGATCGCATGGATAAATATCCACTCACAGTGGTGAGGATGACATGGAAACTGTCCTCGAAGCAACAAACGTTTCAAACTACACGACTCAAAGCAGTAAAGGAGACACAGTACTAACCTGTACATTGGCATCCAACGAGAACCCAAGAGATGAGGAGGGCATGGTGTGATTTTGATGAGGAAACTGTGGCGAATTGTTCGAAGATTGCCTCAGCTGCTGACTAAGCAGGGCGAAAGCTATCAGAGAATCGCTGGATGGAATTGAGAGCTGCTGCTGATTACCCCCCTGCATCGTGCTTGCGCTTCTGCTTGCCACTTAATCTGTCCAAAGAGTTCAAACAGACTTCATTAAACCAGGAACGAAAAGTTACATACGTGTATGATTTTTTTGGAAAGGTACATAATCTGGCAATGACAAGACATCCCTCATGAAACGTACGAGCCCATTCGAAACAAAACATACAAAAATTAATGATAAATAAACGCTCGGCATCTAGAATGTGTTTCTTTAACACCTGCTGTAGACGCGGTAATGATAAGTTCCGACAGTATCAGAGGGGACGTCTCTCATTAGCTAGGAGTAAAAAATATTGTCTTTGAAGACAAAATAGTATTGACGTCAAGTGCATAGTATCAACCCATTTGATCTGCGAAATTTGATTTCATGCGGATACGAGTTGCTAATACAAGAATAAAACTTAAGATGTCTTTAGTCTGGATCAATTGAAACCTAGAGTGAAACAATACTAATTTACACTGTCGTACTCGCCTAACCTATTTCCACAACCGACAAAACTAAATAACAGAAAGGAAAGTCCATTTTCGTGGGCCTAACACTTGGAAGTTTAGAGAAGCTCGTCTGTTGTACCAAAGTGCGGAACAAAGGGGGATTGAACTATGCTAATAGAAATAAAAATGCTAAATATCGATGGTAAAAACAACTTGAAACAAATTGGTCCAGTTTCAAGCTATACCTAAGTACAAGGTTTCAGAATCTCTCCATGAATAACTATGTCGAAGTGGGAGCAATCGGAAACACAGGGATCGATCAGGGCCTATGTGCAACATAATCATCGAGTCGATCCTGATTTTTTCCAGATTTTTCGATGTGCCTCTGAGCAGACGGAGAGCAAGTGCGTCCTATCACAAGCACCGGCTGTGGAACACTTGCACTTGAGCACTGCATCATCGTCATGATGAAGTCCACTTCGCTATAGGTTTTTAAAACCCCCCTGCACGACAGCAAAAAAGAGAATTAGGATTAAAAGAATGTCACAACAGAATGACGACACAAGGGTTGCATTCAAAACAACCATCCTCCATTACTCGCCCTAGCTGAATCAGACTATTACAAAAAACACATATACACACACACACAAATGCACATGTATATACAAACCTCTACTTAGTGTACACTAGGTTTTTCAGGAACAGGCATATCCATTTGAAACTGCCCGCCCAATTGCCATAGAACACCCGTCCTAATCCACTTTCGACAGTTCGACACAGTGATTGGAGCCAGATCACAATCATTCTTTAAAACCGTGCTACACACCACTAAAAGTATCAAATAGCAGGAACCGTGGGCAGATTCCACGGTTTCTTCGCACTTTCGTTCAACACGTTCGATGATATGAGAAAGCAAAGATATACCTGTTTGTCCAACGTTAAGAAGCTCTTCGAATCTGACGACCTTACAATGACAGAATTATCGAATACGAAGGGTCGATTCTGCAGAATATCTTCGGTTATATTGGCTGCGTAAAAGAACAACTCTAATGTGTAAGATAAAATTATCTCAGGTCATTTTCCTCCGTCGTAGTTATCCAATCCAATGAAAGCACTCGCCTCCCCATCAACGCCAAACCAAAGCAACCACAAAGAAGGTCTAGAAAAGTGATGAAACATGGCTTCAAAATCTTAAACCTGAAGCACATCGCACTTAACTCTACATGAAACCAGCAGAAAGATGAACAAAGCTACTCAAGCGCAGTCGTCGACCCCACATAAGCAGAATGGAATCTGTGTAAACGGACCCATAGAGATCGAAACAACGCTAATCATCACCATCGACGCACAGGGGAGGGGACCAGGACTGGACGAGGCCATCACATTAAGCCCAAGAATTCACACACTTCAGCATCAGCAAGATCCCCCATACCAGGATCATCACCTCCACACATGTCCGGAGCGAATCCCAAGGACATATCCATCAGAAGAGCGCACAGAACGGGGGCAGCACCCACAAATAGACCAATCGCCGGACAAGGAATCATCAACTTCGTTTCATGCCCTGCCATACGAGACCGGAAATCCACACGACGAGGGACAAAGACCATGCGACCCAGTTCCAACCAAACCTCTGCCGCAGTGCACGGAGCTCCGACCAAAAATGCACAACCAGATGCTTGCGGGAAAATTACCTAGAGGGCACGCAGCCGCCACGAGCACATAATCGCCAGGTGGGGTTGTACGTACACATAGTGCTCGCTCCAAATGCCAGTCCAGATAAGCTAACCCTCAGATAAATCCTCATGGATGCCACAAAGGGGAACGGGGATGCGGGTACGGCGTCATCATACAGAGACACACAGGCCGCGACGCCGAGCTATTGAGGGAGCCAGGGCTGGGGCCGATCACGCACCCACCCACCCACTAACCCATCTCTCTCTCTCGTCATCCCACAGACACCGCCTGAAAATGGGTCCGGCGCCGGCTGCTTCCAACCCTTCTCCACCTCCTCCTACTCTCATCGCCATAGCCGCTAGATTCCGAATGGCAGAGTCAACAAAAGAAAAAAACCTGGGTCAGAATCTACGAATTGCTACATTGCTCCTTCTTCGTCTTCGTCTTCTTCATCCGGAGTGACGCCATCTCCCGAGATACCTGGAAAGTCACTAGAAAGCCGATTCTCCCTCCCTCCCTCCCTCCCTCGATCTCGCCCTCCCTTCCTCCTCCTTTGCCGCCCCGCACCACCGCTTTCCGCGATGCGTTACCGCCACGTTGGATGAATGATGTCAGTTGTCTGTTCATCGACATTCATTCCGTCTTCATTCGTCTTTCATAGATATTTAGGCTGACGTTCATCCCTCTTTCATTCGTCGCATGGGGGACGGAAATTTGGGATGGCGTTTATCGGGTGAGTATTAATAGTAACAACGAACAATGGAGGATGATGGGTTCGTTGTTGAACACGAGGTTGTATGAGTGTCTGTGTTCTGTAATCGTGTTTGTGTTGGTTGGTCTTCATTGCAAGTGGGTTTAGGGTTTGGTTACGAAGTGAGTTTATTGAGATTGTTGAAGCTTGAGTGGCACTTATTCAAAAATTTAGAATTGAATTTTTTGTACATTATAATTAATAATTTTGTGTTTAGGAATCGATTGAGAGAAAGAATTTTATAGGATAAGAATAAGAAAGAAAAATTGAGCACAAATTATTTTTTAGGTTGTAAAATATCATAGAAATTTATACACATATGAAATTTTCAACATAGAAATAAGTAAGTCTAAACTAAATTATAAGTTAAATTTTTTTTTTTTAATTATCATAGATTAGAAATAAGATATTATCTAATATGTATGCCAACAACTCATATAATATTAAAAGATTCCTATTTCATAAAATAAAATAAAATAAAATAAAATAAATATAATAAATATTATAATATGGATGACTAGTTTACATTAAAGGTGGATTCATGTGTGTTAAATCCACAAAAAAAAAATATTATATATTTCCAACTTTATTACTTGGTGTGACATCTATACTTTAATTTAACGAGGCAATTGACACAACTCATGAATGACCTCTCTCTCTATTCATATTTTATTCTTATGATTGTGTTTATATTGATAAAAAATTTATTTGTTTAGAATATTTTTAAAGTAATATATATATATATATATATATATATATATAAAGATAATACTTACAAAAATCTCAAAAAGACGTTATATATCTCTTTATATCATATTATGACATTCTTTAAGTAGAAGAATAAATCATGTACAATCAAAGTTCTTGAATAAGATTGAAATTTCAACTTTAATAGATATCATATTACTTTAGAATAAATTAATACTACAATTACATGCTATTTGTAAATAATTTTAAAATCTTAATTCTTTCTAATAATGCTATAAGGCAATAAATATATATATATATATATATATGATTCTAAGATATGATATAATCATACCATTTTTTAGTTTCAAAACATTTTCATGATTTTTTTTGTAGTATTTGTATGGCATCAACTAATTTTTTTATTCTTTTCAAATATTATTGAATTTTTTGGAATCACAAAGAGAATAGTACATTTTTTTACATACTATTTTATATTACTAAATAAAATTATAGGATTCTATGTTTATGATATAATACCGGCTTTTTTTTCTTCAAATATTTTATTTTTAAAATATTATAAATAAAGTTTTTAATATAAATCCAAATCAGGAGTAATATTATTTGAAATTTAGTTAGTAATATTTTGATGTATTCATGTAAGAAATAATATATATATAATAGAATTATCTTTGTCTAGAAAAATTACTAAAAATATACTCCAAAATTAGTAAGCTAGATACTTCTAGATTTAAAAGCATGAAGTTACATTATGGGAATTTAAAGAGATTCCAAATTGACTAGAACTTTCTCATTTTTATTTTTTGTTCCCTATATTTGAATTTTGACATTAATCAAATTGGTATTGTTCTATAAACCATAGAATCTATTTTAAAAAAAATTAAAATTATCTAAAAAAATTAAATTAAATATTATAGAAATAATACTTAGAAAATCTATTAATTTTGTTGTCAAAAAAGAAACCATAGAAAATAAAATTGCAACTTATGTAAACATTGTTATGATATGATGCATAAAGAAAAAAAGTATTCTTTTTAAGTACATTTAATAAACTTGTATTACTCCATGTAATATAAAATTTATGCAAGATCATATATAAATTATTTATTTCATACAAAATTAATGATATTTTGTAAAAATAATTAAATAAGATTAAAATTAATTTTATTAAAAGTATAAAATTTATATTCATATTTTGAAATAAACATTTGAAACAAAAATCAGATTCTTAGTAATTTTTTTTTATAACATGATATTAATTTCGTATGAAATAAATATTTTTAAAATTTCTTTGGAAAAGGGGGGGGGGAGAGAAGGAGAGGTAGATTACAATGAGTGAAGCATCAATTAAAGGGAATAGGATCTTATACAAGGATTTCTTTGTAATGCTTTTGGCATGGCTAAAGCTGCGTTGTATAACAACATAATACAACAAAGGTTTCACACTATTTTGAAAGAATAAACTTGTTCCTTCCACCAAATTTTTTATTTTATTTTTTATTTTATTTTTAAAGATATATTAGATAGACTACATCAGGAGGAAGAGCAGCCATGCATAAAGCCGTATATACTATGTTGCTTAATAAATTCAACTTGTCATTGAATTTAGATATATTAGATAGACTACATCAGGAGGAAGAGCAGCCATGCATAAAGCCGTATATACTATGTTGCTTAATAAATTCAACTTGTCATTGAATTTAGAAGACAAAAGATACTTTATTGTGATTTATGATTTATACCAAAATTTGGTTGTTATACATGTCTTAACATTCTTCAAATGAATCTCTATCATTTAATTTTTCTCAAAGCTATATCAAGCTACTTTTGAAAATAATACTACAAGATATTCTATGGAATTAAGATTTCATCAAAGACAAGATTACCAATCTGTATTGCAATAATTCCATTGTCTATTTTATAAGTGGCAAGGCCACCAAAAACAATCTAATAACTTGGATTAAGAAGCTTAAAACCTACATGGACACCACAATTATACTATGCAAAAATATAGTATGAGAATATATTTATATAAAATTATTTTTTAGAAAAATATTATCATATGTTTTGATCTTTTTTATCATATAAATCAACTATAGGATTATACACATTGCAAGCATGGAACCTTAATTTTTATTTGTATATAATATAGAATTTAGACAACATGATTTATTTTTATTTTTTTTCAAAATTTCTACTTAGATTGTAATGAAAGGTCTCTTAGAGGAGTTTATTCTAGTGGTTGTTGCAATAGCTTTTAGATTTAGGCAAATGCTAGGCATCAATACAAAAATGACAAAATTTTGAAGCTAAGGTTCTTTACAACAATGGATTCTAGTGCCACATGAAAACTATAGGTGTAAGTCATAAATTGGATTACTAACAAAAAATAATGGTAATTAAATATTTAAATTTTATTATTATTATTATTATTATTATTTGGATACTAAACATCAAATCAAAAATTGTTAGGTATTGGCTATTGCAAAAATCAGATCTTGAGCTCATTTAGATAAGACTAGACCAAGGGTTTTATTAGAGACAAATAAATCAAAAATTGGTGAAAATCAATTCAATATACAAGGAACAAGTAATTTTAATACTTTGAACTTGGTTGATAATTCTAACCTCATTTGAGATATATAATAACCATACACCAAAGCGTAGCAAAGCGGAGTGATCTAAGAACTATTTCTAGTAATAAACAAAACAAGTGTGAGATCATATATGAAGAGAATACAATACATTCACTAAGGCAATAAGGAATTGAAGGATTTGATACAAAATACAAGCTAGAGATTGCATCAAAATAACACAAGTCTGCAAAGGTGTAGACACAACATAACATTGGATCTCCAAGCACTGAAGCAAGGACATTATTTTTGTTAATAGAGTATGAGTGGGACTCAAAGAAATTCACTCACTTCCAAGATTATAGATCACATCTTAGGGGCTTATCAGTGGCCCTTTAGAATCAAAGAATTGTGAGGTGGACATAGTCCTAGTCTCACACTCCTTTACCAAATTAGACACAAAAAAAAAATCTACTGTAGATGGAGTCTCATCAAGGAAAGGAACATCATAAAAAGACTAAATTTGCACTGTTCATCTCAAGATCAAATATACTCTACTTCCTCTAAGAATTGATGAGCACACAACAAAACAAAAAAATCTAACTATAATTTTGAACTTGATCAATGCAATATTGACTTTGAGAAGTTATTTGGTATGTCAAGAAATTTTAAAGCTCTCTCTCCATGAATCACTAGGATTGAAAAGAGAAGGAGGCCACAATTTCTTCTCCTAAGATTAAGTATAATCTTAAACTTCTAAATATAAATTAACAATTGTTGACTAAAGGTGTGCTTCACTAACTTTCAATAATTTATATTCAAGATTTTATCTTATAATATGAGGGATTTGAATGTTTCTTCCAAAAAATAATTGAAATCATTTTGTTTTATCTAAAGTATTTTTTTCTAGATGTAATATTATCTTTCTTCAAGGATAAAAATTATGTATGTTAATGGCTCAAGAATTAGAAAAATCTTTGTGGCTTAATGTTGGTTTTTTTATATTATATAAGCAACCTTAGGTTAAATGATTAATTATAATGGTATAAAAATAGGAGATTATTACAAACTAATCTCTTCAAAAATTAAAGACCTACTTAATAATGTGGATAATCTAATATATTATAGAGTGTTATAGATCATGCTTTCTGATAATTCATAAGAATTTATTGGAATTTTGAACATTTTTGTTATTGAAAAAAGATAAGAAAGATGTTATATTTAGAAATACTTAGTTAACAACCTACCTTCTATTCTTTTTCTTCAAGATCTTAATAAGATTAGAAAGATTATTTTTTCTTCAAGAAAACCAAATACAAAAATATAATTGAAACGAGACAACATATTATCTAATCATATTTTGATTGAGTTTATCATTCAATTACAAAAATCCTAATCTAGATAATTCAAATTTTAAATAAATATTTTTTATTCAAGTCATCTT